CAGCGACACCACACCTTGGTGATGGTCACTGTTTATTGTGATCCCCTCAACTTACCACACCATGGAGGTGGTAAGTGTGCATTTTTACACACACACACACAACCCCCCCCCCCCACACACACACACACACCACACACTGGTAATGATCAGTGTATTATTAGCTCCCAACTCACACCACACCCTGGCCATGGTTAGTGTGTGTTTCAAATACACTCCCCCATTCACCACACCCCGGTGATGGTCAGTGTGTATGGCTAGCCCCAATACACCAAGCGCTGGTGATGGTCCGTGTGTATTCTAAGTCCTCCACACCACATCTTGGTAATAGTTAGTGTTTAATGTTACTCCCCCACACCGCACCCTGGTGGTGATCAGTGTGTACTTCTAGCCTTGACCCCACACACCACATTGTATTGATGGTCAGTGTGAGTGCTACTTATTGACGTATGTTTCCTCTCTCAAATACAGCAGCCCAGGACACTTTCAGACAAATGCTGGCCGACTTCTCCGACAAGGAGCTTTACCGAGTCACCAGGTTCTACCTCCCGAGGCTGCAAGCCGTGGTAGAGGATTTTGTGAAACAGTTTGGTTTTGAACTGAGGAGCGAATGTATAATAAGTGAGGACGAGGCTGCGGTAAGTAAAGCAATAGTTACAAGAAGAACAACAAGATAAAATATGTGAAGCGACTTTCGTTTTGGGAGGATATCCCAAGGCACTTCAGTACCTAACAGCCAGCTCCCTCCGTACAGCGTTTTCCGTTCTGCGCAATGTCTCCCGTCCTACCTTCACATAGGTGCCTGAGCTTTCAGGCACTTTGCCCCCACATTCAGAATCTTCATCCGACAGTCCCTTCAACTCGCTTGATACCTTGCCTCCTTCAAGGCTGGTCTCAAGACTCTTTTCTTTAATCATGCGTTCGGTTACTCTCCCACCTCTCTTCTTTCCGTCACACTTAATCCAGCCTCCCCAACCCTCGCACATGCTTAGGTCTCGATCCCTAACTGTCCAGCGCCTTGGGACATCCTCCAGACGTGAAAATCACTCTCTGCGTGTCACTTGTTGTTGTTACAAAGTAGAGGGACCATAGGCAGTCCAGTAAGTGAAAAAAGCAGGTTTCTGGTACCTGGTCTGAAACAGGTGGGGAATCTGATGAGTGAGGGGATGGCGATTATCCAAAGTACATTCTACGGTTTGGGTCTGCAGGTGGGAAGGGAACGGGAGGAGTGCAGGCATTGTCTGATCAAGAACTAGGATATTACGATAATGAATGTAAGCTCCTACACTTGTGATGAACAGTCAGATGTGGAAATGATGCAGCCGCTGTTTGCTAAGTGGAGCGAGTGAGTGGTGCAGTTGGGTTGCAAAAGTTTGCTGAGATACGAAATACAACGTAGTGGTAGGATCGTGATGAGAGAGACATTATTATGAATTTGATAAGTGGGGGGGTGAAAATTGAATAGAGCAAGTACGGAGCCTTGACCAGCAGGATTGTGGATGGTCTGTACTTCTGTTGGAGGAATGGGGTCTTGCAAAGCCAGGAGATTGGAATCATCAAACCTTTATATGGTGAAAGTGTGGATCAGGCTTTTGGGAGCCCGCAACAAATCAGAAACCAGAAATAAGGCTAATAACCTACAGGGAAGATACACATTGAATAGAATGTTTTATCAACACGTCTGACACGGGTTATGATGAGTCATTGGATATATTGAGTCAGAGAAGATTGAGCAGAAACCTGATAGAAGTGTACATGAGGAGAGAGAATCAATAGGTATAATTTACCCCACTAATAGGGGGAATCAGTGATGATACAGTATAAACAGATGAACGTCATAATAATGTATTGTCCAGGAGACTTCCCACTGTGTCACACTGAGAGTTGCTGGCAGGTGGAATGCCCTGATAAGCGATGGTCGAGGTAACAGAAACATAAAATATTGTAACATAGACACATGAGAAGGCCATTCAGGCCCTCAAGCCTGTTCCACCGTTCTATAAGTTCAGGCTGCTCTGTACCTAAAGTCAAATGACCCAACCTTGCTCCGTATTCCTAAGTAGCCTGAGTGATCCAGTCTCAAAAATGTGAATGGATCAAGCATCCACAGCTTTTCGGGGAAACATTTCCAGATTTCCACTGTCCTTTGGGTGAGAAAATGCATCCTGATTTCACTCCTAAATGGTCTAGCTCTAATTTTAAGTTGATGCCCCCTGTTCTGGATTGCCACTACCAGCGGAAATAATCTACCTGAATATACACTCTCCAAGCCTTTAGTTATTTTAAGAAGCTCAGCCAGATGACCTCTCAACCTTCTAATGTCAAGGGAATAGAGACCAAGTTTGCGCAAACTGTCCTCATAATTTAACCGTTAAGCTGGTCATTCGGGTAAGGTCCGCTGGAAGATTTAATAGAAATGTAGACAGCCTTATTCTGAGACCAAGTGAAAAACTGCTACCTTCTGTACTGCAACTTACTTACTCTGTGACTAAGTGTTTTCGTCTGCTGTGATTCCTGTCCATCAGGGAATAAACCAACTGGTGTGGAGTGAGCGAGATGGGGAAGCAGCTGAGTTTGCTGTGAAGATTGTCCTGGAGCAAGGACCCCATGAGACAAGAGCCATGTGGGATATCTTTGTGAAACTTCATCCCACCAAACACAAGCTGGGCAAGATACTGAGGGAGATCAAAGAAAAGGTTATTTTATAATTATAAGCTTTCAACACAGTATCACGGTGGAGATTTATTCGAATAATAAACTGACACAAATCTCTGTTAATAGGAAACACCTTACTCCATGAAGCAACCTGGAGTGGGATTGAATCACAAGTGTCAGACAGTCTGGAACGTGAGTGGTGACAGCAATCATCTTCTGCAGCTATTATAACAAACCAAACATATGAACAGATAATTATTCTACAAAGTAAATTTATTTTGTAACTTTGGTATAAAATCCTGTGGCGCATTTATTGTATTTTGTGATATTTAGTGTGAAACAGAAGTTTCATTCTGACACATTACACTGTAGATAGGTGGCGGCTCTCACGAGCAAGAGATCCAAAGCCTGGATTGCACTCAGCTCAATCCAAGCACATAAAATCACAGCAATGAATCTCACAGTCCGAGGTCATCAGCCTACGTTTTGTAGGCGTTTACCAAACTGCTTCAAGAAGCCTTTCATCCAAATCCCAAATCCCTGCTCCATTCTATTAATCACAGTAAAGATGACAGACTCGAGATATAATTAATCTAAATCTTAACCTTGAATTTCACCCCATTATATTTATAATGTTCATTCCTAATTTAAGATTTACTGTAAATATTAAATAACACCGATTGAAGTAACAAATAGTTGACAAACCATTGTCAGATTTTCACTAATAGAAAAGTTGCTTTACAATCGCTGCAAAGTTGAATATTTCCCCTCAACACCCTCTTCAGATCGTACCTTCAGCTCAACTGCCCTGTCAACGGTGTCAGAAACTTTGAGAATTTTTCGAAAGTCAAAGGCATGATTCAAATGTCCAATGTATTGTATATAACAGACAAGTGTTAACTTTGTAATGTAGATTTTCAATTTTCTAATTAAAGGTATTCAGTCTCAGCACAAGGAAACTCTTCGAGAACAAAATAAGACACTGACAGTGAACACAATCCGAGGCCGGGAGAAGAGAACAACATTCTCCCTCTCTGCTCGATACACAAAGTTAATTCTCATCTCATCCCCACGTGATCAGAGTCTTGTGGAACATGAGCTGCTGGCGAGAGGCAGAGACCATGAAGAGTGGCAGAAGAAACACACCAAGAACCAACTCGAGAGAATCCACATGAGTCAATTACTGAGAAGCAGTTTCTGTAAAAACAGCATGTATGGCACCTCAGTGGTGGGTGGGGTTGCAGGGATCGGGAAAACCACCTTGGTGCAGAAGATGGTTCATGACTGGGCCACTGGGAAGATTTATCCCCAGTTCCACTTTGTCTTTCATTTTACATTTCGAGAGTTGAATGTGATCAGAGGGAGAATCAACCTGAGAGACCTGATCCTGAATTCCTATCCTTACCTCTCATCGGTGATTGACCAACTGTGGAAGGAACCTGGGAAACTGCTGTTCATATTTGATGGGTTGGATGAATTCAAGGATAGGATTGATTTCACAGACACTCAGAGAAACACCGAGGCTCAGTATCATTGCTTAGATCCCCATTTCTGGTGTGAAGTGAGTGATATTGTGCGTTGTCTCGTTCAGCGGAAAGTCCTCCCAGGCTGTTCAGTGCTGATCACAACCCGACCAACAGCGCTGCAGTCATTGCTACAGCCTGAGATAAACCTCTTTGCGGAAATCCAGGGTTTCTTGGCAGAAGAGAGGAAGGAATATTTTCAGAAGTTCTTTGAAGACGTTGAGATCGCAGTGATGGCTTTCACATACGTGGAAGCGAATCCCATTCTGTACACCATGTGCTACAATCCCTCGTACTGCGGGATCCTCTGCTCATCCCTGGAATGCTTCTTCACCCAGAAAAAGGGCAAAGAGAGACCGTTCCCCAAAACAATCACACAGCTCTATGTCAATCACATTTACAACATACTGACAAATCACGGACGTGAGATTGAAAATCCTCGTGAGGTGCTGCGGAAAACTGGAGAAATGGCCTTGCTGGGGGTGAGGGAGAGGACCATTGTGTTCAGTAGTCAACATTTTCGAGCTGTTCAGCTGGAGCCTTGTCAGTTCCTATCTGGATTCATGATGGAACTTTTGGAGAAAGACAGCTCTGCTCACAATATGGTGTACACCTTCCATCACCTCACCATCCAGGAGTTTGTAGCTGCTCTGGCTCAGTTCCTGACTCCATACATCCTGATGCCAACCCACACGACACCCCCCAACCTGACTCCGCTGCTGGATATAGCTCACAGTGACCGCGACGGTCGCTTCCAGATCTTCCTGCGATTCCTCATTGGCCTATCAGATCCTTACACAAAGTCTCTGCTGAATGAGTTGTTGGGGACACTCTCCTCTGAAACAACCCGTCAAGTTATAGATTGGATCCAGAGAATATTCGAAAATATAGGAATTGAGACCAGTATCAGTGGGAAATCAGACAAGAAAGGTGATCTGCTGAACATATTGCATTACCTGTTTGAGTCTCAGAACAAACCCCTGATGAAAGCTACAATAGGAACACTGAAGAAAATAGATCTCAGTCGAAATAGACTGAGCCCTGTGGACTGCATTGTGATGGCTGCTGACCTGCAGACCTGTGAGATGGTGGAAGAGATTGATCTGGATTCTTGTTATATCCAAACTGAAGGGATACAGCGCCTGGTGTCGGTCCTGCACAGATGTAAATCTCTGAGGTATGTCTGATTTTCGCTATCCGTGCACATGACAATGATTTTCTGAGTTGCTCTTTTAAACTGATAGTTCTCCATTGGTCTGAAGAGGAGTGGAGGTAGGGGTGTGTAGAGGAGGGTGAGGAGTGGAGGGAGGAATGCTTAATGGAGGGGGGGGTCAGAGGAGGGGACGGCGGGATGTGTGGGCAGGAGAAGAAGCGGTGAGCAGGGTTGAGAAGGGGAATGATCGGTTAGGGAGTGGTGTGAGAGGTGGAAAGGAAAGGAGATGGAAGCGTATGTAAATGAAGGCACGGGTGTGGAGGGCAAGGTAGGGGTGGGGAGGGCATGGGAGGAGTAGGGAGGGTAACAGAGGGTAGTGTTTGTAAGGGAGAGCTGGGGAGGAGTATTGAGCGTCTGGGGATGGATGTGGAGCATTTGTGGAGGGACATGTTTGAGACGGTGACAGGATGGGAGAGTAGGGGTGGAGAAGTGGAGAGGGAAGAGGGGGTGAGGGGAGGGGAGAAATGTTGTGTGGTGGGGAAGGAGAGTTTGGGAGGGGAGGGGAAAGTTTAGGAGGGGACAGGTGGTGAAATGAGGGGACATGTGGTGAGGTGAGGGAAGAGGTGGATAGGTGAGGGGAGAGGTAATGTTCGGAGAGGAGAGATCGGAAGGGGAGAAGTGGGGAGGGAAGTGCCGTGAGAGGAGAGGTGGAGGGGGGAAGAGAGAGTTGATGATGGGCGGGGAGTAGTGGGTAGTGAAGGTGTGGCGAGGGGAGGGGAAAGCTGTTGACGGGAGGGGAGGCGTGCCGAGAGGAAAGGAGGTAGGGTCGTGGGAGGGAGAATTGTGGCAGGGTAGAGGAAGGGAGGGCAAGGGAGATATGGGGACGGCAAGGAAACGGATGGCAGGTGAGAGGAGGACAGGGGAGAGGAGGGCAGGAGAGCGCACGTAAAAGCGATGCACGGGAGGGCAGGTGAGGTGCGGGGAGTGCTCGGCCTGTGATGCTGACAGCATGTGGCACGGCTCCTCGCGAACTGAACAGCCGCCCGTGGCATCAGCTGGTCCCACTGCCCTGTCCTCACACCCAGGTCACCAACACTGTTATAACGAGCTCCCAGGAGGCTCTCTCAGCTCAGATCCGGGAGGACCTGCTGCCATGAGGCAGCACACAGGAATCCAGTTGCCTAGTAACATGAGCCATAGGAGTCGGCTGATGAGTGCGAGGAGTGAGGGCTGTGGGGCTTGAGCTGTTGGAACCACAGTAGGAAAGAGGTGGAGAGGGACATCCAACACTGGGGTGGGGAGGTGGGTGGGTGTGAGAGGGAGGAAGTGGTGTTTACCAATGTTACCAACCTGTCCACTCCTTCTGCTCGAAGAATACTGACTTCCTCCATGCCTCCCGCCGTGCCCACTCCACTATACGGGATCGGGGATGGAGGTGGAGGGAGCGGTTGAGGAGTGGACGGGGAATGAGGGAGGGAAGCAGGAAAGGAGGAGGAATGGAAAGGGTTGAGTGAGGGAGAGCAAGGAGGGGAAGAGAGGGAGAGTAGGAAGGGAGAGGAAAGTGGGAAAGTAAGGAGGGAAGGGAGGGAAGGAGGGGAAGGAGAGAGGGGAAGGATTGGGAGGAAGGTGGGAGGGAATTGAAGGGAGAGGAAGGGTGAAGGTGGAGGGGGAGAGAATCAGGGAAAGAGCAAGTGGCAGGAGGGAAAGGAACGAGGGAGGAAGAGAGGGGAGTGCATAGAGTGAGAGGGAAACGGGAGAGGAAAGTGGGAAGGGAAGGATGGAAGGTGTGGAAGGAGGGAAGGAAGGAGGGATGGCGAAGGAGATGAAGGAGAGAGGGAATGGTGGAGAAAGCGAGCGAGGTAGGGGAGGAGGTGGCAGGAGAGAAAAGAGGGAGCAATTGTCGGAGGTCGGAGAAGGAGAAAATGGAAGAAGGTAGAGTAAGGGGAAGGAGGGAGGAAAATTATGGCGTGAAAGAATGCAGGGAAGCAGGAGAACGCTGGAGGGGTGGCAAGTGATGGAGGGAGCGATGTGTGGAGAGAGGAAGGAGGGAGAGAATGCTAGGAGGGAGAGGAAGGATGTAGAGTAAAGTGGGAGGGACGGAAGGGTTTAGGGAGGGAGATGTACGAGGGATGGAGGGGAACGAGTGAGAAAGGGAGGGAGAGGGAGTGAAAGGAGGGAAATGTGGGAAGGAGAGGAAGGAGGGAGGGGAGAGTGAAATAAAGGAGTGAGAGGAAAGAGGAAGGGAGGCAGAGGAAGAGCGAGGGAAAGTGGTAGGGAAGGAGAGGTAGGAGGGAAGGAGGGATGGAGACGAAGGAGGGTTAACAGAGGGGAGGTAGCGAGTTAACTGTGAGGGAGGGAACGAGGGAAGGGGGGGTGAAATGTAAAGGAAGGAGGGAAACAGAGAGGAAGCAGGAAGAGGAAGGAGGGAGGGGAGGAAGAGAAGAGGAGAATAAGTAGGGAGGAATGGGAAGAAGGGAGAGCCAAGTTGGAGGGAGGAGAAGGTTGTAGGGAGGGAGAGGGAGATGAAGAAAGGAGAGGAGGGAGGGAGGAGAAGGAGGGAGAGGAAGATGATAATGTAAAGAAGGTGGGAGGGATTGAACGGCGGCAGGGGAAGAAGTGACGGAAGAAGGGAACATGTGGGAGAAGAACGAGGGAGGGAAAAGTGGAATGAGGTAGAGGAAGGAAGGCGAGTAAGAAAGGAGGGATAGGAGGGAGTGGAAGGAAGGAGGGAGAGGGAGAGGATGTTGGGAGGGGGGAGAGATACGGAGGGAGTAGCAATGAGGGAGGTAAGTAAGTGAGGATGATGAAGTAGTGGGAGGAAGGAGGGAAGGCGGGGAAGTAGGTAGGGGAAGGAGGGAAGGGAGGAAGTGAGCGGAAGGAAGGATGGAGAGGAATAAGGGAGAGGAGAGAGGAAGGGAGAGGAAGGAGTGAGGCAGTGGAAGGTGGGAGGGGAGAGAGGGAGGCAGTGGGAGAGAGCGGGAAAGGGAAGGAAGGAAGGAGAGGGAGGAAGGTAAAGCATGAGGGAGGGTTGGGAAGGAGCGAGGCAGAGGAGTTCGGAGTAGGATGATTGAGGGAGAGGAAGGTGGGAGAGGAAAGAGGGAGTGAGAGAAAGGAGGGATGTGAAGGAAGCAGTGAGTGTGGGAGGGGAGGCAGGAAGAGGAAAGGGCGAGAGGAAGGAGGGAGAGGAAGGAGTTAGGGAGAGGAAGAAGGAAGGGAGAGGAAGGAAGGAGGGAGAGTAAGGAAGCAGGGAGAGTAAGGAAGCAGGGAGAGGAAGGAAGCAGGGAGAGGAAGGAAGGAGTGAGAGGAAGGCAGAAGGGAGAGGACGACAGAAGGGAGAGGAAGAAAGGAGGGAGAGGAAAAAAGGAGGGAGAGGAAGAAGGAAGGGAACGGAGGGAGGGAAGGACGGGATGGAGGAAGGGAGAGGGGAGGTGAAGTTGGAATGATGGAATTCGTTGTGGAGCGGGAATAATTGTACACCCCCCCCCACCCCCCGCCCCTCTACCCCCCACGTGGCCACACAGTCCACGGTCACCTTTTGGACAACTCGTGAATCAATAAAAATGTTAGCTGTTTGATGACCGTGTCACGTGTGTATGGGTGTGTCTGAACCTGGTCCCAGAGCCTTGGGACTTGCTCCCCACATGAAAGGCTCCTGTATATACATGTCCATGTGTATTGTGTTGTGCACAATGTTCCCTGTGTTTGTGTCTCTGTGTCCAGGCTGGGGAATAATAATCTGGGGGATTGTGGAGTGAAGCGACTGTGTGAGGCTCTGAGGAACCCGGAATGTAAAATACAGAGTCTCGGGTAAGTAACACACTGTATCTCCAGAGTCTGAATGACTCCAATATCTCAATCTGCTTATTGTGACTGTCTGATCAGTGAGGCTGAATATTGTGACAGGAATCGGTGTGACAGTGTGAGGCCTCAAGCCATCTTTATATCAAACTCTCAACATGTATGAATAAGAAACCATGTGCTGGAAACCCCAGCTCCATGGACATGTGGACAATCAGAACTCCGACCCCTGGCTCCAAGCCCCAAACCCGCTCCCATTGTATCGAATCCCGAATCTCCTGTGTTTGGGCGTGTATATGTCTGTGCTCGTGTGTTTTTCTATGTGTTTGTGTCTTTTCTTGTGTGCACATGGAATGTGTGTGTGTGTTTTTGTTTGTGTGTACATCAACAAAAATATTGCATTTATAAATCGCCTTTCACGTTGGGAGGACGTCCCAAGGCGCTGTACAGTTCGGTCGGGACCCGAGAGGGGGTAAATGGTCAGGGTGAGGGGAGGAAAGGGATGGAGCGAGGAGGGGGTAGAGAGTCGGGAGGGGAGTTGAAGCCACGGTTGAAGAGAAAGATCTTGTGTATATGTGCAAGAGCGTGTATTTACCTGTAAGTTTCCATATGTGTGTTCGTGTGTTCTGTGTGTGTGTTTATTTATTTGTGTATGTTTGTTTACATATTTGTGGGCGAACGCGGCAGCCAACTGTGCACAGCAGTGTCCAACAAACAGTCTTGGATTGAAAATGACCAATTTTTATTATTGTTTTATTTTTTTGGAGGGATCATTAATAGACGTTTGTGTGTCTGTTTGCGTGTTTGTTTGTGTGTGTCTATGTATGTGTGTATCTGCTTTTGTGTGCGTGTCTTCTTGTTTGTTTGTTTGTTTCTGCCTGTGTTTCGGTATGGCTATCTGTTTGTGTGTGTTTGTGTGTGTCTGTGTGTTTGTTTGTGTGTCTGTTTTTTGTGCATGTGAATGCACGCATCAAACTGACTCACTCACACATGCAAGAGTTTGGGGAATTCCCTATCAATTCCGAAGCTTGTAACTCAATTAGTTCAGGCATTCCAACAGGTTTTATCTACCATACGGACATATTTTTTTCTGTGGAGAAACCAGGTGCTGAGAAACTATTTGTTTAGTATCTGTACAATCAAAACCTGTGGGGAAAAAACTCATACAGAGGAAATTCAACATAGCTTGAGTCCGGAATTATTGTGCGTCAGCTCAGACACTGAAGACTGAGTCCTATAACTCAATGGTTAGGGATCTCGTCTTGCATAGAGAGGACATGGGTGTGATTTCCGGGAGG